TCGATTTGGCTATTTTTTTTTTTGTGTTACAACCAACTTTAAGTAGCAATTAATATTTATAAAATTGATTTTTAAGATCAATGAATTGAGGCGTCACATGCTGAATGAAGCACTATTATATTCGATAAAAAAAGTAATGTATAATATAGGTAAAGCAAACATTAATATTCTTTTACAAGGTTGGTGGCACACCATCCGCGCCGGTAAACACTAAAAGTAAAAATAAATTTCTTAGAAGACTGACTGGTATGATTCTAAAACTGGTCCCCCGAGCGCAGTGGATAACGGGTACGCTGCATCGCCTGCTGCCCAATCTCGGGGGACCACGGGAAGAAGTCCGCCGCTTCTACATGGGCGTCGTGCGATCCATGGACCTCTATAGGGCACCCGTTTGGTCTAATGACCTTCCCGCTGCAAGGCCCTACTCAGAAGCCTGCAGCGGTTGATGATAATACGGATCGTATGGGGCTATCGTACGATCTCGTTTGGGTCGGCGACGTTCCTGGCGTGATATCCACCATTCGACATTCTGGCCGACATGGACGCGATGGTCCATGACCAAGTTCGCCGTATCATGAGCCCGGAATAGCGCGCATACGCAGGCGTGGCAAGCACGGCTCGAAATCCAGGGCTGTGCTAACCAACGCGCTATCGGAGCCATCCTGCCGAGCTTTGAAGCGTGGGTAGGGAGAAACGACTGTGTCACCTACCGATTGACTCAGGTGCTCACCGAGCACGGTTTCTTCGGGGATTATCTGAATCGAATCGGACAGGAGGTCACGGCACAATGCCACCACTGTGGGTCCGACAGGCCGGAGGGGGAGGTGGGGGGGGCGTGTCGTCTAAGGCCGGGCCGCCGATGCGTTCTTGGAGCTCCTCCCGACTACAAGGTAGATCGCCGCAGGGTTAAGAGGGTATACCGGTTCTCCGGAAGTCCTACACATATCCTCCGTTTCCCCAACGGAGGGTATGGTGCGAAAGGCATTCAGGACGAGCGAGCGACTTGTGAGCTGTCCGTTACAAATTTCTGTATACATTAGTTCGTTAATGTCACCCTAATGACACTATAAAGATTATAATCAAGATAACATCACAAAATTGTTCACTTGTGATATATGAAGGGCAATTCTCGTAATAAAAGTTCGGTCTCAATTCAGTTCCGATCAACTTTCGTAGTAAAATAGTACTAAGACTAGCAGATTACCGATGTCTTTTAAACAAGAAAAAGAAAAAACAAGAAAAGAATTTTCGGTTACTATACGATATCATCACATAACATGTTAATTACTACAAAAATACCTTTTATGACAGTTGTGAGATCGAAAAGTGATCGGAACTGAATTAAGACCGAACTTTTATTACGAGAATTGGCCTTCTGACCCGTACAGAATATTGGTTACTGAATATCTTAAATGCGATATTACTGTTTACATTTGGGCAATTAGGCATGTTTAGATTTACATTGTGAATATCGTTATAATATTTGATAAACTGAAAAACAATGTCCTTCAAACCTATCGTTTGTATTCAAATTTTCAATTCAACCCAAATGTATTGTTTTTTTTCAGATAATTATAAATGTTATTCTAGGGATATTAAGAGTAGCTTTTATCCCTAGTTAAAGGTTATATTCCTTTTTTTTTAATATAGAAACTAAAGAGTCTGTTACAAGGCTTAGAGGTTAACATTATTATTAGAAAAATATGTTCACAAAATATTTAGATATGTTTATCACGTAACATTACTTATTTAATATTTCACAATCTTGTACAAACGAGATCTGTATTCGCCACACGCACTTTGACCGAACGTAATATTTGAAGACATTCTTTCAAGATGGATTATAGTCACGGGGAGAGATGATCATGTAATTTGTATGTATAGCAGATACAAAAATCGTTCAAATATGTGTCTTGCTCTTTGCAGATCATACGCACAAACTAAGGAAGTTTATCTATTACTGGCCACACTGAGGACAAGTTTAGACTTGACCCAGAACTGAATAACCCTTTTAACAGTTCCGTAATAAACTGTTCACTTCATTGATATCCTTCAAAATAAAGTATTTTCAGAATAATAATAATTATTATTTATTTAGATGAAAAGTACAATAATTTATAATAAATGTTTGTCTAATTTAAAAATGAAAGACAGTTGTTTAATTGCCCGAAATAGGTTGATCCTGTGTCTCGGGCGAAGAAGTTCTTACAAAACAATTTTATCAATATAAATCTACATAACTACAATTTAATTATAACATTCGAATAGCCTACGTAAGCAACTAGCAACATCAGTGATAAGTGGGTCAAAAATAATGCACTAAGACCGTTCAGCAAATTTTCATTTACATATTTCGAGTCACTGCTCAGTTTGCTCATACGACAAAATTTGTAAATAATTATGTAATTTGTTTTAACAGCTGACACAATTCAATTTATAAATACTTAGCTCTCTATTTAATCTATTATATAGAAATGGGCCTAGAAAAGAAAATAATCTATTTGAATAAATGAACTTTTAGCCTGATTGTGAGGTACAGACTATGTTTATCTTTTCGCCTTTTGTTAGAAATACCAGCTTGATAGTAAAGTAATGTACATATGTTGTATTAGTACGGTGTGATATATGAAAATTTGGCGGACAGTCATCACCTTGCACGATTAATATAATATAGTTGTGGCAAATAGGAATGTTCGGGAGGAGGCAACTTTTAGAATCGCTCGTTGAGCTCTTTCTAGAGGTAAAATAATAGTTTTCAGTGCTCCACCCGAAGAGGTTATACAATATTGGATGATTGATTGAGATAAAGATAAATACACTTGAGTGATCCACTTTAAATCTGCTATATATGCATGTTTTTTTACCCAATATTTTAAAATAATCTTACTTTAACCTAGATTTGAACATTTAAAAAAACACAGTATAATTTTTGTTCTTATACGCATCTGTTACTCCAATCGCCTGCGAATTTTCTAATTCCTATTTACGACGAAGACATTTTAATCTACACGTGTCTCTGAATCATGACAAATATAAATGAGTGTACCTATATCTACGGCTTAGTATGATGTGTACTGTGGTGAAATTCAAGGAAAATTGGAAAAACATTTTGACGAGAGAAATTCAGAGATTTTTCTCTATATTAATTATGTCATTTTCCACAACACTGAAACGCTTCGTTTACTTTTTTCTTATTCCGGAAATTTTTGGATTTAAATTTAACACGCAGCGCTTTTCAGATAATTTAACCACTCATTTACAGGTTGAATGACCCAGTTAACTATATTTATTGTTTACTGACCAAACAATAAATATAGTTAACTGGGTCATTTAATGTGAATACATATTTCAGCTGTAGAAGTCTGCAATTTTAAGTGTCATATGGCAGGTGAACATCAATGCAAAAAGCTTAACTCAATTACTGATGTTGAAACCTTCGCGGTTTCACGGCTTGCTCACTTGCTTAAAAACCACTACAGACAATTTTAATGTCTGGCCCTTTCCACCTCTTTCGCGTTTCACGTTTCCTATTCTATGAATACGAACTCTTGAAACAATTTTATCATTACTTGTGTTAATGTACTATTTCAGAAAGATTTCACAATAACTTTAAAGTGACTGAAGTCGCAGGAGAAAACAACTTTTACATTTTTTCATGAACGTGAGCGCACAGAGTGCCTGTCGCCGCCCATGGACAAGTCATAAATATATTGCCGCCTTTCAAAAATTCAGAGGAAAGAGGAACACACTCGTTGAAATGCAGCGAAAGTATTGCGTATTAAGTGAACAGTGTTCTGTGAGGCCTTTGTTCGTTCGTCGTCAGATTTTAAAACATATTTATGGACAATGGCTGCAGGTCATCATCATCTGTTAGTAGCACGGCAATCTAGATTTAGCAATAAAGTTTTTGGTACCTACAAAACTGATATATTAACGCTTCGTAATAAAGCTAAACATTACCTTCAAACTTATAGTCTTTTGTAACCATCTCTATTATAATTTCAGAAATCTCGTACCTTGTCTAAAGTACAAAAAAAAGGGTCTTATCTAATATGATTAGTATAATCTATGTAGAAATAAAAGGGGATTCTTAAAGTAGTATCGACTATTGAGAAGGGATTATGTACATGTTGTTGAGATCGAATAGCGCACATTAATGGGTATAATTTATCTATAATATGTATGTATTTAGAAATATATAAGTATGTTTATCAGCAGTCTGGTTACTATAGCACAGGCTCTACCTAGTTTGGAATCAGACTGCGGTGTGTGAGATGTGTGAACGTATTATTAAGGCTTATTATTGATATCAGCTGATACAAATGATGTTACTTAGATAATTGTTTGCACACCGCTGGATATAGCCGTGTTATTATATAACCTCCTAAGTACAATCCTAACAGTTTTTTGTGAGAGCTTTGCCCAAAAGGCTGATTTATAATGTTTAATTGCTCTCAGTTTTCTTAATTGAAATTAAGACCATAATTATTGAACTATATATAATATAAATATCTTCCGTGCCATTAAGAATTTCAAATTAAATAAAAACGCACTAACGCAGTTATTTTTTATAATATGACATTTCTTTAAAAAAAAACAATTATTTACCAGTAATGGCTAGTTGCCAAATAATGATAAATGAACATTAAAAATTCAAAACCATTAAACTAAGATTATGTTTACCAAACTCTTATCTTAGAAATATAGCTTAAAGATGCAACAACTTTTAGGATGATTATCCCAAAAACAGCATTATCTAAATAGACGAAGTAAAGTCTTGAGGTAATTTCTGCCTTCATTAATAACTGACAAAGCTCCTCGCCCTCTCTAAGCCCCTTGTACTGTACGAACTCGACTGGCTCAAATTGAACCTAATTGTGCTAAACTTAAAGCTCTAGTTGTGAGACTATTCAAGAACGTAATCCTCTTGCAGATTCATTCTCTAAGAAATATGTACTTATAATAATTAATTCCTTACATCATTTTTAATGATCGAGAGATCACCAGTAATATACAAACAGCACCTTAAGATGCAAACAGCAGATCAGTTTCATCAGTTATCATGAAAGGTACTGTACGGATGTGTCTTATTTATTTACTTACCGAAAAAGCCTTGAGGAAAACAAGACACTGGATTATTCCTTCCATGGTGTCCCCGGTGAGACAGAAAGTCCCTGTGAGATGCCTGCCTTTTTTATCGCCTATAGCGGGTGCGGCTGCTAGGCTAGCGTGCACGAGAGCACCGCGCGGCCTGGCGTCCCTCGTGGCCCCAAGCACTCCCGGGAGCGGCGCGCCTTCCATTAGCCTTGCTAGCGGGTCCATACCCGCACCACTAACAATAGCTCATGATACACTCACTACACAATTGTTTCCTATTTAGGATTTATCAAATATACCAGTTAATATTTATATATATGACACTTGAATATCATATACTTAACAGGGATCGAAAAAGAAGTTCCAAATTCACGAACGCTCGATAAAGTCGATACGCGATGACACCGATAACACTGAGGGCGTGATGGTGCGATTAAGACAGAGGCTCTTGCACTCCTCACACTGACACTTCTGGTGATCGGTATTCCAGCACTCGCTCTTCAGTATGAGAGTAGCTAATGTATAGATCAACACAGCCATTCCAAAAATTATATATATTTCCATACTGCACTTTACTTTTTGGCACTATATTTGGCACGAGTTTACCTGTCGAACAAATCGATAATTCTATGAAAAATGTATTATTTAACTAGTTAACTTCAAACGTCAGTGGTGTTTACATCACTATTTGTTATCGTGTGATTCGAGTTGAACATCGGTTGTTCCATTTATCATTTTTACGACATTTTTGGATAAACAACATACGGCTTTCGTGCCGATATACCATTTACATACGACATGGCAACATTTAAATAAAACCATAACCAACATCGGAGACTGTTTTGCATACAAACAGTTTTGAAGTCTAACCCTTCATTGGCAAATATCACAACAAAGCCTATTTGAAATTGATGAAACAATTAAGGGACCAAAATTACGTGGTTTTGAAATCCTTTCTGTCTTTTAAACAAATATTTGTATACGTTTGTTTGATGACGACGCGCGTAAATTTGCAAAGCTGTTACCCACCCAATCAAGGATGCCGACGTATTATTAAATCTGAACCAGGTAATTAACATATCTACAGTAACTCGTGTATATTTAGTGAAACGTGGGCCAGAAGACGTATAACAACAAACTCATTCTCGACTGATTGGCCTCATTGTGAGAGGAACCGCGGGATTTTATCTCCTCACGTTCCGACGTTCAATCACGGCGTATTCAATCGAACGACATACACTTACCTAACTACCATTGTATTATATATATTAGAGACTGGTATGAGGGAGGCAATTTTCTCAAAAAACCGAACGGAGAAAATCGATGTGATGTTTGGAGATTTACGTTGATAGAGCTGTCATTACAGTCATTTTATTTGTTGTGATGTATCCATCGTGGAATCGATTTAGTTTATAAGAACATAGTTTCGTTTTGTATATACTTACGGTATACTAAATCAGGTAAGTAAGCTGAAAGATAGCTATTTATAATTAAATTCCTCTTAGGTATATTGTTAATGAGTTTGCAAACTAAGAGAATAGCTTATTTGTGTGTTGTTATTTTCATATAATATTTGACAGGAAAATGCAGTTCATAACTGCCTCGGTGGTGCAGTGGTAGCGTATGCGACTGATGTACTGAGGTCTCGGGTTCGATTCCCGGGTCGGACCAAATGTTTGTATGATCTGCAAATATTTGCTTCAAAGCTTAGGTGTTTTCTATGTATAATATGTACTAGCTGACCCTGCAAACGTTGTTTTGCTATTTACATTGTATAATTATTTTTTTTTTTTGAATTTCTTTAAATCCGTTCTTAGCTGACCTCTACTTGGTGAAAATAATATTCCTATTAAATTTCAAGTCTTTAGCTCTAATGGTTCCAGAGATATCGTGATGAGTGACTATATACGTGGAAATCTCTTATATATATAGGTAAAAAGTATATAAGTATTCTATCAGTCAATCTAACTTTTATAGTAATAGCTCTGCTTAGTTTGAAACTAGATAGCGCTGCGTGTCAGATGTCTGAAAATATTTTTATTATTATAACAGAATGACCATCCATCTTTTTTTTTTTTTTTTTTTTTTTTTACGTGTGGAAATCCCCTCGGACCGTCACCCCTCCGGGGTTTGCGACGGGGTGGTGTGTCGGACTCGGACCGACTAAAACCACACGGTGTGCCACTCTGCGCCTGTAACAGGAGGGATCCGGGAACAGCTGTTGTTAAGACATCCGGACCCCTCCTAGCGCCAGCCCGCTCCTGGTGCGGGCTCCGTCTCGATGTGGATGTTCCTCTCTTTAGGCGACGTCCGGCACACGCGGACGCCGCCCCCTCGCGGCTGGCCAACTAATGCGGGTGGAGGGGAAACCCACCCCGTCCACCCGCGGCCACACTCAGGGCGGCATGAGGCTGTGATAGGCGGGCCTCCGCCGCCCGGTTCGCCGGCGGCGGATCGGGTCCGAGTGGAGGTCGTCCTCCCGGGCCCTCTCCGCCGCCTCCTTCCGCGAGATTACTACCTCGCAGAAGGTTGCGACCGCGGTAAAACAACTGTCGCTACCGGCCATGGAGCGTACTACGGCCGGTAGCGAGAGATCCACTCCGATGACTGCAGTGAGGGCCCGGCGCTGCGCCGCCCATGCGGGGCAGACCGCCAGCGTGTGCTGGGCCGAGTCCTCACTGCAGTCGCAGTGGTGGCAGGCGGGACTCAGTTCCCTCCTAGCGACCGTGTGCAGGTACTTCCCGAAGCAACCGTGCCCGGAAAGCACCTGCGTCAGTCGGAAGGAAAGGGTCCCGTGCTGCCGCCCTGCCCACTCGGCGATGACCGGCTGGAAAGCCTCCACGGCGGCGAAGCCAGCGCGTGGAGTCTCCAGCCGGAACGACCAACGAGCCATCGTGGCTCGGCGAGCGGCTTCGCGCCACTCGCGCACATCCTCGGGCGGAGGGCGAAATCCGCTCTCCGCCCGGCAGTCAGCCACTCGCCGATAAACCTCGGCGAGCACTTCCGCCTCCAAATCCCACGGGGGAGTTCCGGCCAACGCGCACGCCACCTCCGTCGAAACGGTGCGGTAACCGCGTATGGCTCTGACCGCCATTACCCTCTGAGGGCGCCAGAGGCGTACCCTATTCTGGGCGGTCAGAGCCGCCGCCCACACCGGTGCACCGTACAGTGCCATTGACCGGACAACCCCCGTGTACAGCCGTCTTGTCGCGACGCTGGGTCCACCCATATTGGGCAGAAGTCGCCCTAGGGCGGACGCAGCGCCGACCAGCTTTGGAGCAAGCTGTCGGAAGTGCTCGTCGAAGAGCCACCTACCGTCGAGGATCAGGCCCAGATATTTCATCTGGGCCCGAACCGGTACGAGGACCGAGTTGACCACGATGGAGGCGCCAGGGGGTGGACCACGACGGGGCCCATGGAATAACAGGGCCTCCGTCTTATCTAGGGCCACCCGTAAGCCCAGCGCCTCAATGCGCCCGACCACCAGGGAGACTCCCCCTGTGGCCAGGCGCGCCGCCTCTTGGAAGTTTGCCCCCCGGGCTGTCACGAGGGTATCGTCTGCGTAACAGATTACACCCAGCCCGGGGGGGAAATCGGCGCGAAGGGCCCAGTCGTACCCTATGTTCCACAAGAGGGGTCCAAGAACAGACCCCTGTGGAACACCGCACGACATGGGCCGACACCTCAGATTACCTTCTCGGTCCTCGTACACGACGGTACGCTCCTCTAAATAGTCTGCCACCAGCCGCCTCAGGTACTTTGGCACCCCATGATAGTGGAGTGCTTCCCTGATGCAGCTGAATGGCAGACTATTGAATGCGTTGGCGATGTCCAATGACACCGCCAACAGCACGCCGCCACAGCTCACGGCCTCTTCGGTCACGGCCCTCAGGCGCAACACGGCGTCGACCGTCGAACGCCCCGCCCGAAAACCAAATTGGGCGTCCGACAGATCGGGGCCCACCTCGCAGAGGTGCCGGACGATGCGGGCAGAAAGAACCCTCTCAAACAATTTGCCCGCCTCGTCCAGCAGCACGATGGGCCTATAGGCCGCGACCGAATCGGCAGGCCGTCCCGGCTTCGTCAATAGGACCAGCTTCCCGCTCTTCCAGCACTCAGGGAAGCGTCCCGACGCCAAGCTAGCGTCGAACACCTCCCCGAGGCGGTCTGCCATGTGGTTGAGGGCCAGGGCCAGCACTCGGGCCGGTACCCCGTCTGGCCCAGGGGCGGTGTTCTTGGAACGGATCCGTAGAACAGCCGCCCCTACCTCCGATTCCCGGACGGGCGGAACATTGTCCTCCCCGTGCTCCCCGTCGTCTCCGGCCAGGGAGGCCATCGACGGGGGAGTGTGTTCCGCCCGTTGTGGGAAAAGGCCCTCAACCACTTCTCGCAGGAAGCTGGGCTGGAGAGTCTCCGTAAGGGGGGGGCCCGACGCGCGGAGCTTTTGTCGCACCGCGCGGTAAGGGCGACCCCAGGGGTCACGATTAAGACCCTCCAGCATCTCCTGTCTTTTTTTTTTTTTTTTTTTTTGAACATTGAACATTACAAAGTTGCATGATTAGGAATGTATGCAAGATTAAAATATAAGAGAGGTTTATATTCTGTTGAGAATAAAACATTCATAGTATTAAATATGTACATACATACATACATACGTACGTAAACACACACACACACACACATACATGCTCTTACGCCTTTATCCCTGGAGAGCTCGGCAAGGGCATATTACTAAACATACTCGGCCAACTCACGTAATTTGGTCCAACTCACGTAATGGGGCAGAGCTATTGCCGTCCCGGGCACTTTGGGAGTTAAATATAGATCAATAAGGAGTATATTGAAAGGCAAGAAGATAAGGAATATTGATACGGTGTAAGCTTAAACTGGTTGCAGGGAACTCCAGGCGCTCAGACCTATTGGTGTTAACTAAGGGAGATTGTGACTCAGCAAAGTAGTATTTCATCAACTGCCTTTAAATGTCTTCTACTGGATATAGAACTCTTCTTAGAAAGGAGGCCTAGGATAACACGCTGGCCAGACAGGTTGGTATAGGGTTTGTGTCAAGTTTTCATTTTTTTTGCAGTGCTGTTGTCCTGCGGAGTTTGTTACTGTAGTCGGCTCTTACGACACCCTCCTGATGAATAGGGGTGGTGACACTCCGTATTTTTAATCCGTCACCACTCGTATAAGTAGTATTAATTTGAAGAAAGTGATGATATAACATAATAGCAATAACGTCTTGACATTAGTATTAGTTTAAAATTTACTGTTCTTTAAAAA